TGTGTGAAAACGTGTGGGTGATGGTCAGTATGCATCTGTGGAGTGAATGTTAGGGGATGGTGTGTGTTCGTTGTGAGGAGGAGGAGAGAGGTGTGACATGAGAGAGGGGAATGAGGTTTGGCTTTACATGTTCTTAATCAGTCAATCCTGGGTTGTGAGCCTGTCTTCTACCAAGTGTGTGCAGGTTGGAGCTCGGGAGGCAGGCTCCGGGTGAGACCCTGCTGTGTTGGTTCCTGGTGGAGGTTTCTGACACATTCTGGGGGACATGTATACACTGGAGCCACTTAGCAAAAGGCATCCAGGGACCGTGTGAGGAAAAAGTGTGTTTATGTAGTAGGACACCCGGGTAATTGGGGAAGTTTGACTGGAGATGAGAAGGCCCGGGGCAGAGGGGGAGAGACATGGCAACACGTTCTTTTGCTAACTGTGTGAGGCCCTGCCCTGGGGAAGGCCACAGGGGTCAGTGCTTAGTTGTTGAAGGGAGGGATCAGGGTCCACAACCCCCGGCATGGAGCCTGCACACATTAGGGTTCCTCAATACGCAGACAGGTGCGGCTGTTTTGTGTACTGCCACAAGTGGGGTGCGGGCCAGGTGGTAGACTGGCCCTGTCATTAGATCCAGGAAGCAAAACGTCTGGGCCCATCTTTACAGAAAGTGATATTCTAAGGGCTTTCTCCCTGGACTAAAAAAGAAAAGGTTGACATTATTTTTTAATTGAATACAGAGTTGTCTTCATGGCACTCCCCCACACTCTTCCTCAAACTCACACACATTCTCTCACTCCCTCACACACTTCCAAGTCCCACACACACTCCCCCACATTCCTTCACACTCCCTCATACAATCGCCCTCACACCCTCACACACTCAGACACACACTCTGACATACAACAGGCCCTTGCTGAGCAGCTGGTGATTTTCTGTCCCTAGGTTGGAGGGCAGCTGACTCACACTTGGATTCCAGACTCTCCCTCTCTCTCTCACAGTCAGTTGTGGGCTCACTTGCATGCACACGCCACAGCCCATGCTCACAGACACATGCTGTCTGCTCTGCCCCCAGCACAGCATGGCACAGCCCATGGTGGCCCCACCTGCCCGCTGAGCCTGGCAGCCGCCGCCCCCACTCCACAGCAGCAGCATCCAGAGGAGGCCAGCCACAGCGTTCCCTCGGAGGCCGACCATGGCTCTCCTGTTCTTGGGGACAGGCTTCTCTTGGCCAGGAAGAGACGCTGTGAGGGTCTACTGCAGCATGGCCTGTGTGGAGAAAGACACCCTTAGAGAAGGCTCTCAAGCTGAAAGTCTGCGAGAGGCAAACTCTGGGCCCCGCCCAGGGGGATTCCCCCACGCCCAGCCTTCCAACCCATCTTCCCTCCCGGATTCAACTCCAGGCAGCCAATGTGTAACCTTCCAGAGCAGAGCCAAGTGTGACCTCCCTTCAGGGATGTATGCCTGGGTCCCCCCAGCCATCCAATTAGCAGATGGGCTTGCGGAAGGGAGTAAGAGAGGGCCTTGTGCCTGAGGACTCCACACCACATCCTGCCTGGTATGGCTCGGCTCTGTGTTGCCACCCATATCTCCCTCTCTGAAATCCCCACGTGTCGAGGGAGGGACATGATAGGAGGTGACTGGATCATGGGGGCAGTTTCCCCCATGCTGTTCTTGTGATATTGAGTGAATTCTCAGGAGATTTGCTGGTTTTATAAATGGTAGTTTTTCCTGCTCTCTCACATATTCGCTCCCCTGCCTGCCACCACGTAAGAAGCACCTGCTGCCCCTTCCTCCATAACTGTAAGTTTCCTGGGGCCTCCCCAGCCATGCAGAACAATGAGTCAATGAAACCTCTTTCCTTTATAAATTAACCAGTCTTGGGCAGTTCTTTCTAGCAGCGTGAAAATGGACTAATACACCACTTAAAATCGTTCAGTATCACTGTCCTCATCTGAATACGGCACAGGGGCCTGCCATGTTCCACCCACCCCTGTCCAGCCTGGCCTCTCACCTTGCCTCACTCCCTCATGCCGCACTTGGTAGCCATGAACTTTCTAGCCATTTCCTGCAGGTTCCAGGTGCACCACACCTCCCTTTGCACCCGGGGGAGGGCTTCCCTCCACCTAAAATCCTCACACCTACCCTGGGAGCCTCTGGCAATGCTCAGCTCAGATGCTCCCCTTCTGGAAAATTTTTCCCAGACCCCTCACTTCCCTATGGATTGAGGGGGTCACTGCTCAGCTGCCTGCAAGTGAACCCTGAGCTCCTCAGCAAGTGACTGTGACTCTAATTCTCCATTTGCTTCATTGTCAGCCCTTTCGACGGCTTGATCCCTAGAGGCTGAGGCCAGGCCAACTTCACTGGGCATGGAAGATTAGAGCATTTACACATGGTCAGTAAGTACCTATGAAGGAAAGAACTAATGAAGAATTCTTCAAAGGATTCCTGAACCTCAGTGCTTGCAATGGTAAGGAAGTTATCTCAAAGGCAGTTGGGCAAACCATCCTCATAAGGGTTATTCTGCTTCAAATAATTGGTGAATAGTTTTTAAAAGATTCTAATAAACAGAAAAATATTAAGATGGTAGCAAGGGAGTATGTCGGGAGCAAACTCATTTACCCTTTGTAAAGTACCAAGCTGATGCCAATATTTACAATGACCAGAGGGAAGACTGCAGAGAATCATGAAATAACATCTTATAAACTGGCATGTCCGCTGCAGCCCGGAGTCACGTGCCACCACCAGCACCCTGGACCAGGGCTAGGAGGGCTTATCGAAACATAAAAAACATGTGGCAGGGGAGTGAGCTCGTGGGTGTCTGTACGTATGTTTCTGTTGCTGATCTTTCTCTGAATTATGTTGACATTTCTACTCTTCATCAGTGACAATCTAAAATGTTAAAATGAATCAAAAGGGAACCTCCAAAGACCTGGATTAACTGTGAAGAAAATATCAACAGGGCTGTGCCTGATGACAAGCATAGGTAAATCAATTTCTGGGATTATCCCCCTGAAATACACCCATGTGCATATGTGCATGCACACACACACACACGCGCGCACACACACACACGCATACACAGGATAAGCTAGCTGAATGCATATTTGAAATCATGAGCCACCGGGCTTCATCTGCTGCAGGAGCAGCAGATGCATTATTTGTGGCTCCAAGGACACAAATATTTGTGCAGATAATTGTGCAGATAATTCTGCAGAGAACCATGAAATGACATCCTATGAACTGGCATGTCCACTGCAGCCCGGAGTCACACGCCGCCACTAGGAATTATTTGTGGCTCCAAGGACACAACCATGCTCTCACCCTGCACTCTATCCAGGCTGCTTCTCCATGCTGTAATGCCCCCACTCCACTTGACCTCCAGATGCTCAATCAGTTCTTCCAACTCCCTATGGAGTGGCTGTGGCCATTCCCATTCTGCATGTTACACCTGATCTCAGCCAGGTCACATAACTTGCCCAAGGTCACACTCCTGGAAGTGGTGGAGCAGGCACTGGACACCCTATAAGCAGCAGATGCATTACTCCAAGGAAAGCCAGACCCCCATTCTACATCAAGTCTAAGTGTCTCTGCTGCACCTGCAACCCCTTAGCCCCTGGAGGGTTAAGTCTAGAGATACTCCCCTGCCTCAAATCCCTCCTACCCACTATATTCACCAAATGCTAATGTATCACACAGCTTCTTTTTTCTTTTTCTTTCCTTTTCTTTCTTTCTTTTTTTTTTTTTTTTTTTTTTTTATGGAGTGTCACTCTTGTTGCCCAGGCTGGAGGCTCACCGCAACCTCCACCTCCTGGGTTCAAGCAATTCTCCTGCCTCAGCCTCCTGAGTAGCTGGGATTACAGGCGTGTGCCACCATACCTGGCTAATTTTGTATTTTTAATAGAGACGGCGTTGCTCCATGTTGGTAAGGCTGGTTTCGAACTCCCAACCTCAGGTGATCTGCCTGCCTTGGCCTCCCAAAGTACTGGCATTACAGGCATAAGCCACCATGCCCGGTCTCACACAGCTGTTAGTACAGCATTTTTAGATGCATCTCACCAAACAGATTTATGGCCCTGTGCTGGGCTTATATCAAATGCCTCAAAAATTTTGTATGGAACCTTTGTTTTCCAACAACACATTCAGGTTATATCTATCCTCCAAATTTTGCCCACAGACTTCCATCTTTTTTCCCACATCTCCTGGTACCCTCTGCAGGCTTTTGGGCTGATATCTGGATGCTTACATCTGGAGAAATTATTCCCCATATCACCTTCTCCCCTGTGGTCCTTTGCCACCTCCCTGATGAATGAGTGGATGGATGCATCCAGTCATATTTCTCACTTCAGGGTTAAACATGTATTTGTTCCCATGGGATCTGGCAGGGGTCCCAGGCACAGCCTGTGTCATGCCAGGCTGTGATCGTCTGCCCAGGGCCTGGCTCCCCTGTGGTCTAGTGAGGAGGGTCTTTGAAAGCAGTGACTGTATCTTACTGGTTTCTGTAGTACTGGTGGCCGGCGCAAAGCCCAGCACAGAATTGGTGCTCAGTTAATGTTCATATTTGAAGGGAAGGAAGAGAGAAGGGAAGAGAAGAGGGAAAGGAGGAAGGGAGAGAAAAAAAAAGGAAAGAAAGAAGGGGAGGCTGATGACTCGGCTACCTTAGGGAAATAGTGAACTCAGAGAATCTGGACTATTGGCAGTTTCTGAGCATAGACTCATCCAAGCACATTTCCTGTCTCTATTCTGCCTAGGACTTACTAGCACCCAAACCTGATCTCTTTTTTTGATTTTGTCAACAGTAAAAGATTACTTCGGTGCCTATTAGTAATAGAAAAGAGTATTAAGAGTCTGCTTCAAGAAATGGGCTAAGCAGTTTTTGTCCACATATTGTCTTATTGGAGCCTCACATTCATGCTATGAGCTAGGTACCAATATCTCATGAAAAAAGTACAGCATGGGGGGATTAAAGTCTCAGCTGTGAGTGGTCGTGCTGGGATTTGACCTCAGGTCACAGGCTGTTCTCCATCCCCTTTCCATACTGGGGATGTTTTCTCTCTTGTATATATATATATATTTTTTACTTTTTTAAATTGTTGTGGGTACATAGTGGGTGTATATATTTATGGGGTACATGAGATGTTTTGATAGAGGCTTGCAATGTGAAATAGCCACATCATGGGGAAGGGGGTATCCATCCCCTCAAGCACTTATCCTTCGAGTTACGAGCAATTCAACTACACTCTTTAAGTTATTTTAAAATGTACAATTATTATTGACTATAGTCACCCTATTATGTTACCAAATAGTAGGTCTTATTCATTCTATTTTTTTACCTGTTAACTGTCCCCACCTCTCCCCACCCCCTTACTATCCTTCCCAGACTCTGGTCTCTCTCTTTTTTTTTTTAGATGGAGTCTTACTCTGTCACCCAGGCTGGAGTGCAGTGGTGCCATCTCAGCTCACTGCAACCTCTGCCTCCTAGGTTCAAGCAATTCTCTGCCTCAGTCTCCCGAGTAGATTGGATTACAGGTGCCCGCCACCACGCCTGTCTAATTTTTGTATTTTTAGTAGAGATGGGGCTTACCCATGTTGGCCAGGCTGGTCTTAAAGTCTTCACCTCGTAATCCACCCACCTTGGCTTCCCAAAGTGCTGGGACTACAGGCGTGAGCCACCACACCCAGCCAGTCTCTCTTAAGATTGTATCTTGAGCAATGTCTGGCCTATTAAAAATGCCTTAAAAATGTCACCATTATTGGCTACCTAGAACTATACCTGTGGCACTAGCACTATTGTTTTAATTGCAATTTCTACTTTGGGACATTTAGTAGGCCATTTTATTTATTGAATATGCTACAGAGGACATCTGTGCACCTAAGTCTTAGCCATGTGTAATTATTTTCTAAGGGTAAATTTGTAGTAAAACACTTAGGGGGTCATAAGGGTTTTGCAAGAATCCTGACTCGTATCACCAAATTGCTTTCCAAAAAGGTTGTACCAATGTCCACCGCCTCCAGCAATGTGTGAGTGTGTGGATGCCCCTCTCACCACCTACTTGGGAGCACTGAGTATTATCACTCCTTCCATCTTTGGTAACTCAACAGAAGAGGCATTGTTGCTTGTTTCCTATGCATTTCTTTGTTCCATGAGCCTTCTTAGCTAAGTGTATTTTCCCTTCTGTATATTTTATTTTCATGTGGCTGTACATTTCTAAAGGTATTTTTCATTGTTAAAGCCAATGTCCTGGATAGGGAAAACAATATACATTTCA